CAGGGTTTCTTCACTCTCATATGGTTAGTTAAGTAATCAGAAGATTGCTCAGTTAGTACATAGATCATTCATTCATTCAGAGACATTTGTTCATTGTTCCCACATGTATGGTGACACAGAAGCTTCACAAATTATTTTGGGAAATACGCTGCAATTTGTTTCTTGCTGATTGTTAAACGAGAAGATTGACGCCACTCTCCTTTCTGTACAGTACATGTGTTGCTGGAGCCAGCAGGCGGTTAGCTTAGCTTAGCATAAAAGCTGGAGACTGCCTGGCTCTGTCCAAAGGTGACAATATCTGCTTATGCATTGCTGCCTTTGCAACAGTAACCAGGCTAGCTGTTTCCCCCTGTTTCCGATCTGTGCTAGGATAAGCTAACTTTCAGCAAGAAAGCACATCAGCATATTTCCCAAAATGTCTGCAAGACATATAATTCAGTGGTGATGATGAAAATGACCTGTGAAAAAATGTTGTGCACACGGTGACTGCAGCGTTCAAAGAAACAAATGTACATCACAGAGTAGGTTTTAGAAAGCCAAAGAAGACTTTTGGAGACATTTCATTGATCTAAATGTGAGCTAACTGGATTAGCAAGAAGATGAAACTACAACTGGTCTGTGTGAGCACATCACGTTTCTCTCTACACACATATAAACGTAGGGTGATATGATGAAGGCTTCTATTGCTGGATTAATGTTTGGTATAACATCATATCCAATTTTAAAATATGAGACACAGGTGAAATCTGTATGAAAACACACAGTACATTTTAGTGGTGAAAGATGAACGATGGGCCTCTAGAATTACACGACCCCTACTGGGGGACGACAATATACCTTTGAACCCAAACGGTGTGGGATCACTCTTGACCAAGTGGCGTTTGGAGCCATGCTCGGGGCTCAGGGCTGAGCCTGGCCACACCGGAAGAAAAAAGAACGAAAAAAGAGAAGGAAGAAGAAGAGAAAAGTGAGAGAGAGGACGGCCTTAGAGAATCAATAATTTAACCGTTTGCTGTTCTATCTAAACCAGTGAGAAGCTTGTAACTAATGTGACCTCTAGTTTTTATCATAATCTGGCTAAAAACACACTTACTTAAATATATAACTATAACTTTATATAACTTAACACAAATAAATTGAGACTGATATAGACACAGGCATTAACTGATGTACATACAGTGACTCTTTCACCCAGTACTGAAAGTCTGGTGTATCCAGTTCAAGTGGGAAACTACAGCAGTGGCAATGTTAGACTTCTACCACCAGGAGGCAGAGTGTGTGCAACATTTAAACTATGATAATCAGTTCACTGAACTCAACAGTGAATGCAAATTACACTGCAGCAAGCTTTACATCAGGTTAGACAGTGGGCAATAATTGATCTTTTAATGTAAATACAGCACTGATCAGGCACTGTTTTAGATTCTGTAATGGATATAATGCGGCGTAATTAAGGTTTTATGTATGTACTGATGATAGTGATACTGATTGTAGGAAAAACATTTAGAAATTGGATTTAAGTATACACTAATGTGGCATAATTATTACTAATATACTGTAGTATAGTAGCATTTTATATATATATATATATATATGACAATAAATGTTCCCTGAAATTAACAAATTCATAATTTTTGTAAATGATTATTAATTAAATGTTAACAGTTCTGTCCTTTGTTAAAGTTTATAAGTGGTCAAGTCCCAATCCTAATTGACAAGACCATTTTCAAGTTTATATTTCATCATATTTGTTCTATTCAAACACCATAAGACAAAGTGTTTAATGTTATGTATGTTACTTTTATAATAATAATAATGAGGGAATGCTAAAGTGTAGTTTAAACTGACAGTAACGTCAGCTACACAACAACATTAGCCACCAAAAGCTAAGGTTCATGCCAGACCAAGTAAGACTGAAGCATCATGTTCCGGTTTAAAAGAACCTCCTCAGGTCTGCTAATGTTACCTTTGGGACTCTTGAGATTGCTGAAGCCCTGCAAAGTAAAACGCTTTTTAGCCACTGAAGACCTGTCAGTGGTCGGACTGGTCACTGGTTCATCTGGAAACGAATGGTTTGAAATGGAAAGCGGGAGGAAAAGTTGCAGTCGTGAAAAAAAAAGAAAGAAGAAGCGCAAAACAAATAAAGAGGTAGAGAGACAGAAAGAGGAACCATGAAGATGAAGGTGATGAAGAAAAGAAGAGTTCGGGTCAGCGAGTTCACACTGCAACTGTCGCTATGAGTAGAGATAAAACTTTGAAGCCATAGTTGACTTACATGTCTTCTGCCTGAGTGAATACTCACCTTTGTGTTTTGGCGAAGAAGAGGAGTTGTCAGAGATCGTACTCGGCTCCACCTTCTTGTCCTCCTGCTGCTTCTTCTGGTTTTTCTGACTGCTACGGAAGGGGCTAGTGAAAAGAGAAGAAAAGAGAAAATGTTCTAATAAATAAAAGGAATCCCATTTGTGGGTGTGTGCAACATTTATAAGGCTGGACACCAACCTCAGGGAGATGGAGGTGTTGTTGCTGGTGGGACTCGGGGAAACAGGGTCTGAGCTCTTCTGCTGACTGGCATCTAAAACAGACAACGGTTAGCTACAGTTAGGATCGGGTGAGGGGATGAAACTAGATTATGTTGTTCTGGGTGTCCACGTTACCTCTGCAGGCTTTGAGCTGCTGGGTCAGGACTTTGCGGATTTCGTTCACCCACGCCGTTTTAATCTCTGGTGTCGGAGCCTGGACGAGAAAACACGCAGCATTAACGGCGAAACGGTTTCTTCTTCATGTATGGTTAGTCGAAGCTGTGAGGCTGAGCCAGCTTACCTGCACTATAAACACTTCGTCTCTGGAGTTGCACCAAATCTCAAACTTCTTGTTGTCTCCTTTAGCGTTCTCTGTAATGCCCACCGCGCTCATCTGAGAGAGGAATGAAAGGTTTGCACACAGTCAGCCCGGATCTGTCACTGCAGCAGCCTGTCCAGAGGACTTTGTACGAATATTGATCGTCTTTAACCGATGTGAGCTTACACTTAGGGAGTGTTTGAAGCTGTAGGACGGAGCTTTCTCGTAGCCCTCCCCGTTCTCCTCCCTCCTCTTGCAGAAGAGCAGGGCCTTCTCGTGCAAGAACAGGTGCCTCTGCATGGGCTTAAACCGGGCCAGGTCCTTGACCTTGGCGTGACCTTTTTTATGCTCCGTCCACACACTGAAGGAGCCCTGCATCAGCAGGCGACCCAGCTCTGACAGGTTACCCTGCAAGAGGGAAAAGAGAGACAAGCGTTTTTGGTCTTTCTATTTTAAAAGGCTCTTTAACTAAGGGAATTGTACTGCATGTTATTTTTCTATGGTTTCTCTACTTACTACACAGGTCTCTTGAAAAACAAGATCCAGATCTCAGATGCACATCACGTGTCATTTTATCTAGGCTTCGAGGTCAGCCCACTAGCTTGTACATTTATGTGAATTTTGGTTAGAAATAAACACTAACAGGGTTTGAGAAAAAGAAAATTGCCCTTTTTGTACTGAAATGAGCCAAAATGACAGCTGGTCTCTCAAAATTTCTCTGACCTCGTATCCTGTGATGGCGATGAGGTGCATGGAGTCGTTAACAGCTTTCAGGATCCCCAGGATGGAGGAGAGAGCTTCCTGTAGGTCATCGCAGCCATCACAGCCCCTACTGTACTTTAACAACTCCTGTAATAAACACACAACACAAAGGGGAGAATACAGTCAGTCTTCACAGTCTGACATAAACACACACACAGTATGTTATAGAGAATAGGAACACAGCTCACCTTAAGCAGTAGCTGGTACTTGGTGATTCTCTGGACAGGTTTAAGGAGGTAGGAGTCCAAACCAAGTTTATGTTCCAGCTTCTTCTGGCACTCCTGGTTCAAGCACAAACCAATGAATATATTTAGGAGTTAATCGTTTAATAGGCGACATGAAAAGGTAAGTTTTGCTACATTAGGAGGTGAAAGGGCAACCTGGAAGAAGGCACAGTCGGAGCACTGTCTCCACAGGCTTTCAGAACGAGGTTTATTCTGGCAGTAAGCCTCGTAGATCTGCAGGTCCTTCATCTACGGAGAGAACAAAACAGGTGCAAGGTTGCCAAAATGAACTGATGTCTGTCACTGATTTGAATATTTAAGATTGAGATTTCTTAATTTTATCTTCAGAGGCAGTAGGCCCAGACCAGAGTGGACGAAGGAAGTGCTCACCCTCTCTAAAAAGCAGCGGCCCACTAGCTCTGGGCAGTCAGTGTACGCTTCCAGCTCCTTTAGAAATGTCCTGGAGACAACACGACACAAATGAGATCACTCTCACATCTGTAAGGTAAACATTAAGCTGGAGCCAGCAGCCAGCTAGCGTAGAAAACAGAAAGAGTCTGAAGAAGCCCACCTCTTATGGAACTGGTAGATTTCAGACATGTTGCCAAACAGGACATCTTTCTTGGTGAGCAGGGTGCTGGGGATGAGGTGAGCCATGGCAGGGTTGTCCATCTCTGCTGCATAGCCCTGGAGTTTAATATTACACACCTTACATCAACAGATTCACTAAACTTAATTCCCTCAATGAATGATGGGACAGAAATACGCTGGTATAGAGAATAAAGGTGCTGAATCACTGATCTGCCGACATGATAAGGTGATTATTACATGATTTCATATGTCATTTTCAATTTGTAAATGTACATTTTGCCAGGAATATACATGAACTGACGTGACGAACACTCACCTCCAGCACACATAGTAGCTCCTCCACGTATGCTCTCTCTGTCTCCAGCAGTTCATTCATAACGTGGCTGAAACACAGAAAAACAAAATACAAACTGAGTTTGCAGAAGCCTGCATGCTGTACTGTAACCAATGAGACCCCAGTACTGAAGAATTCGGATGTCGATTTATATAAAATAGACATTTTATATACCAAAAGTGATACAGACAAAGAAAATATATCACAGTACTACTGTCCATTAACTACTTTCTGATCTCTGGCTCTAAGGTTTTGAGCCCTTACCGCCGAAGCACTGCCAGGTTTTCTTCTTCTTCTGAGAGAGAAGCATGTCTGGTGCCACCGTTATGTATGGGAGACTCCACCTGGACACACACAAAATCATATATAGTATATGACCACACATTCAACGGCATCCAATATTAGTTTGCATTATCAGTATTCAGTCATTTACCTTTTTGCAGATGGAATTATCTGCAGAGTATCTTCTCTCTTTTCTCTGTTGATCTGAACAGAGAGAAAACAATGTTTTATTCCTTTACACCAGCGAGATGAGGCCCTGATACATGCCGCTCTCTTTTATTAAATCAGTTCATCTTTTAAATCAGGCTTACTGGGAGACGAGAGTGGAGACTTCACTTCAGGTCTTGGTGCTACTGGCTGGACTGGTCTGGTCTGTTTGGCGGCAAGTTTCTTCAAGCTAACGCGTCTCTTCTCAAACATCTCCTGGACGGAGCTTTGCTTCTGGAAAACTCTGTCTACCTGGTCCTGATAGAGACCAAACACGACGTAGATATTGCATTAAATGAATTAAAAAGGTTTGAACATCGTACAGCATCATGCATAAAAAATGTCAGAAAAGCATATATTTAATCTGTTGAATCGACTTCCTACTGACCCTGAGCTGACTAGTGAGCGTCGCCTCATACTGGCAGAGGATGGCGCTGCGGTCGGCGAGAGTGTGTAGCGATGCTGTGTCCAGGTAACGCTCCAGTTCTTGCAGAGCAGCTTCGGCTCCATCCTGAGACTGACAGCGGTCCACTGGCTGGCTGGCCAACAGGAAGATGCCCTCCTCACACCACCGTGATGCCTGGGAGGAAATAATGGCAAAGAGTTCCCTCTTTTATTACTTAGCTCCAAAAACTGCTAAAACTTAAATTTTTGAGGATGACGGGATGTGTGATGCCAATCTGAGCCACACTCGTACCTTTTCCAGAGCGCTGTGGAGCTCCATCGCCCTGAGCAGGAGGCTCTTCTTGCTCCTTAGAGTGGAGCTGATCTCCTCGCACACTTCCCTCAGCTCGCTGCACTTCGGCCTGATGGAGTCCTCGGCGTAGTGGGAATTTTCTATCAGCCGGTCACCTTCGCTGGCCAGGGACAGGGCGCAGTCCAGCACATCCTATTGAAACACATTGACGATGTTTGTTCTTAATATGAGAATACACTTTAGCATGCACAGAGAATACTGACTTGTCAGCTAACAGCAGTGGATACATTGTCAATCAGTGGCTGACAATAAACCAACCCCACCACCTCCCCCTCCTCCTCTTTCTCAGTCCACTCTCTCTAAGTAGACTGTTTACTTTACTTACTTCATTCTGGATGGAGTGGGACAGCTACATTGTACAAATTAGTTAGTTAAGTTAATCAGTAGTTTCGCATGTGAAGCTATGCCCTGTGCCAAAATGCAGAGCTGCATCTTTAAATATTATAATTTTCACATCAGAAAGTCCAACATGTGAGTGTCTGAAATATTCAAAATTATAAAAATTAACAGAATGGAAACCATCATAGCGGAGTTGGAAAGCAGATCTGACTCAAATATAATATCAGCCTAATATACAGTATATTGGTTCACTCCTCACATCCACACACAGGTGCCCTTTCTACCTCCCTCTCTGTCTCTCTGTCTCTCTGTCTCACACCTATTTCCCAGTGAGTGGGGGATGGCACAGGGCATGACATTGATTATATCATTAGCCATGTGGCTTCAAGGATGCGTCAAAGGTGAAAGTGTTGACTATGTGTGTTTTGTACCACATGAGCTGCAGAATGGAAGTGTTTGTGTTTGTGTCTTACACAGGCCCTGTCCTCGTGGCCGCTGAGCTCTCGAAGGACGTGCTCAGCATGGGCGGGGCTTATGCTGACCTCAGAGAAACCCGACAACCGCTCCGATGTCACATCAAGCTGGGCACGCACCTACGGACAGACATTTTTAATGGCGTCTTATCGGGTAAGGCTTTTGGCTAAAACCACATTTCCCATAATTCAACTCTACTCACTTCACGGAAGTGCTGTTCAAAGTGGCGAAGCTGTAAACACTGCTCCAGCTTGGTGCGGTGACGCTCCCAGAAATCATCAAATGCCGTCTCTGTCTCGTCCAGCTGACCCAGGAGTCTGAGAGGAGGAGGAATGATTTATTCATGCGTTCAGAGACAACTTCCTCATCCATTCATGCATTCATTCATCCCTCCCTCTACCTCTGTACAGTAGCTAAGTTCTCCAGTTCATCATAGGTCATGTTGTACTCAGGGTCTGTCTGTAGAGGCTCATTGATACACTCCAACAGGCGTCCCCCTTGAGACAGCGCCACCTGCAGGTCCTCCTGGAAAATTAACAGATCATTTTCTTTAACACTCAGGCTCTCGGGGGCTGTGAACATGTCTCAGAAGAGAGCTGTCTCTACCTGCCTTAAAACGTTCCATCTAATATCTATGAGAAAAAGTGTAGTACAGAGATACGGTTGGTTAAAATGTATGGAAAAAGACAGAAAAGCACATCTGACCTTCATTTTATCCTTCTTTAGAGTGTGTGTGTGCAGCAGGTTGGTGGTGGCCTCGGTATCGTTGGGTAATTCTGTCTCCGCAAGCTCAGTGCCGAACGCCTGCAGGGTCTGAGCTGTGGTCTTCACCATGAGGGCAAACGCCTCGATTGCCTGTGGAGAAGACAGTCAGGTAAGTATAAATACACAAAGGTCTATAGAAGTGCATACAAGTGAAGTAAGTCTTTTTGTAATATGTTTTATGATATGGATATGACATGTGCAAAATAACTGTGTACATACAGTGCGGTGTGAGATCCAGCTGTCATGGCAGTACTCCTGCGTGCCTCCCAGCTCTGTGGTCAATTGTCCTGGGTCAATATAGGCGTGGAGCTCAGTCACCGAACTCAGCATCACCACCTGATAAAGCACACACAGTTGAGTATTATTTGTGAAAAGATAATCCGAAATAACTTAAAAGAAGGTAACAATATAAATCACCTTCATTTTGAACTCATCCTTGTTGAACTTGAACAGGAAGTCTGACAGAGTCCGCTGGAGCAAAGTAGTGGGACGCAACACCAGAACCAAGTGCAAGTTCCCTGGAAATGAACCCTAAGAGAGGAAAAAGAAGGGGTAGAAATGATTTAGTAATATGTTAGTTTGTGTATCTTTCAATTTTAGAAAAAACGAGGTGTGGAAATAGTCTGCCAGGGTAAGGATCGGTGATCTGCATCAGTTTATATTTGGGTCTTGGGTGCTAAAATGAATTTTAATATACCTGCTTTCCTCCCTTCTATGCATTCATTTTCTGTCCCAGTCACATAAAACTACAAAATTTCTTTAGAATTTTTTTTTTTTAATAATATAACTGAACCAGACGAAAAACAAATTTTATCCATGAAAACCACACCAAAGACAATGCTTTATTATCACTATTCCCAGTGAAAAGCTACAGCTTACAGTCCAGATTTTATGTATTTTTTATAGCATTCATTAATTGCAGCATTAGAGCTGCTAATGGTTATTTATCAGCACTTTCAGCAAATGAAGGAAAACTCTACCAGGAGTCCTGCTGTAAAGGTATGGAGGTGGACTGAGCCCACGTGTGTAACACTTGTCCCTCTGCTGCAATCCTGAACCAACCATGAAGAGAATTTTCATGGGATTTAATATCCACTAAATCTCCTACATCTCTTCACAGTTGTTCCCTTGTTGCACCCCCGTCTATAAAGCTGTGACTACAAGGTAAATTAGTCCTGTGACTCTGGTAGAAACCACAGTCTGTCCCTCCGCCTCCACACTGACAGGTTAGAGGCGTAGAATTGCCTTTACACAGACAACACAGACTCAGGAGGCCACTCAGTCGAAATGCTATATTGGTTACGGCTTCCTCTAAAACCCTGGGTGCATTGCTCCACCCTGTTAGGCACCATAAATCGATGTAGGTTGACACACACACACACACAAAAACACACACACAAACACAGAGGGCCAGAGGCAAGTTCAGAGATGTGCGACAAGCTCATGAAATCTTTAGTGTTGCCATAAATAACGTTTATGGTAGAAAAATATGAAAATATTTAAGACGTTTGAAGGATTTAAAAAAAATCTTTTTTGCTTAGATTGTGTTTTTACACTGCTTTTGATGTGGATCACCTTCCACTCAGACAACACAGGCATTCCTGGTGTTTCCTGGCTTTTCTGCTAATGACATTTTAGCAGTAGTGTCTATTGCTGGGTTTATAACATCTTTATTTATAGGTTTATTACATATTCGACCCATTTAAAGGGGCGTTTTAAAACATTAAGACACACATTATATTGCACATGTAAGGAACAACATACTAACTTGTATCCACAATCTCTACAAAATGGTGCCATCCCAACGTCCATACCCTCCATCACTAAGCCGATATTCATCAGAATCACACGGAACATCCCATAAAAACAGACAGCGCGAGCGCTTTGATAAAATACCGCACATGGCTTTAATTCAGTCTACAAGGAGACCTGCACTCACACACAGGCATGCACACACATACATCATCGTCATGAAATGCCTGCACGGCGTTGCCATGGAAACCATTCTCCTTGAAAACCGCATGGAGGGAGATGGAGAGAGAGAGAAAGAGAGA